ACTGAACAGTCCATTTTCTGGTAAACTGCTGGTGGTCTTAAACGATACCGTAACGATACCGAAAAATTTGCTCAGAGGCCGTTTATGGACCCATGCCCATTTGCTTTGCACAGACCGTGCTTGCCCGTGCCCATTTCCGATGAAGCACGCGCAACACACGTCTGCTGACGAGTCCCATACTCCACGCACAAACCGCCGTTCACCCTCTCAAAGAAGCATACTTAGGCTCCGCGTGGAGCGACTGCTTCATCTAGTTTGCGTGCATCGTATGAACCCAAGAGTGCCACCGGTACTTGATTTAGTCTAACATGCATAAAAGATACAGTCATGTGCCCAAAGTCTTGTAAAACAATAGGGGAAACCCAAAAACTATACCCCTTGTCAAGGGGCCGCTTCTGGGAACAATAAGATTGACGCGTAGCATGATGGCCAGGCCCTGTATGTTTGGAACCCCCCGGGATAATCAAGCAACAGCTCACGAGACGCGCTAGACTCGACTAAGGTAGCAGTTTGCAACAGCAAGCGAAAGAGAAAGGATAATGTCAGCAGAGAGACGCCCGCTTGAATCACGTGCACACACCTCTGCAGACCACATCCAAAAGCAAGCAGTGCTCCAGCTCTCTGTATCGGATCCACCTTTCCTATACTACAGACTTCTCTCTGACCCATTTCCTGTTGGGCCATCTGCTTTGGGGGAATGGAAGCATCCAAGGACAAGGCGCACACAAGGATCGGCACCGAAGCACGAACTCGGCGAGGCAATCGTGACGAGCTCGGCTCACAGGACAAGCGGCTTCTTTCCTTGTGGGGAGTATGGAGCAGGAGTCGCATGTCTCAAACCTGCGCTGTAGTTTTTGCAAACGGCACTTGAGACCCAGCCTTCTTGTGGAAGCAGGTTGCTTGAGCAAGAGTGATTCTGCAAAAGCCTGTGCAAGACTGCGAGCAGGAGCTAGAAGCGGAGCTGGAGACGTTCTATGATTTCACCGGTTCCACCCGACGTTCGGCTGCACTCAGCGTGAGATTGAAGCCAGAGGCATTCATGTTGCACTGCACGTCCGCTGTCACATGAACGGGCGAACCAGGTGAGATTACGGAGCGAATCACGGACCCCGAGCAAAGAGCGGCGTGCGGTGCTTAAGTCCGCTTTCGTGAGCCTTGAAACCTAGCACTTGGCACTGTGTTGGAGTTTCCGACTTGCAGTGGGGGTCAAGCCATGATGTTTGTAGTCTCTGGTTGGCGTCGAGGACGAGAGCTTTTCATGTTACCAGGCGCTTGTTCTTGTAGCCCCGTCGCTTCAGCTGTAGGTCTGTTTTCCGCTTTTTCGACGAAGATCGAGACGGCTACCTCAATCACGAGGAGACTTGCCCTCATCTGGCAGAACATGGTTGCACATACTTGAACCTCAAAGGAGCTGTCCGAGCTGTGGAAGGCTACTTCCACGGAGGGCGGCGAGCTCTCAGCATCGATGTTCAAAGCTGCCTGCCAGCAGGCACTCGGACAGAAGCAAGAACACAATTGAAATGAACGATTCGAGAACTCCCACGGCAGGCAAATGCAGACCCCAGACAAGGTCTTAGCGTGGAGGCCTGGGGTGTGCAAAAGCCGACTCGCGTCTTGTGACCCTTCGCTTGGAGGCATTGGGTCAGCTCTATGCCGAAGGCTTCGCTGACCTCGAGCGTCACTTTGCCATACTCGAGGTGCGGACAGTCCGATTCGGGCAAGTCGGGCGGGGGCACCGCGGCACTGATGTCAGGAGCTGCTCGCCAAAAAGCTCTCCTCCAGGAAGGCAGTCCTCCAAGCGAAGAGAATCAAGCAGGAGGCCTCCAAGGCCTCATCAGGGTCCTCCGCGGGGTCTCTTGGGATGCCTTCTTATCTTCGAGGGTGGGCCTGTGCAAGGAGTTGGAGCAGGAGGATGACGAGGCTGAGGCCAATCTTGGTTTTCTCTCGCTCATGGCCTGCTGCAGCATGCGGAGCCCGCTGTCACTTTCAGGACTCCGAGGGGGAGGATGATAGCGAGGATGATGATAGTTCTGGAACTGAGATCGCCGCTCGCCTGGCCACGTTTCAAGCAACATCGCTGACTGTCCGGCGCACCATCTTTAGGTCGAGTGTGACGACGAGGCAGAATTTGAGGAGGCTCGCCTTGCGAGTGAATCCTGTGCGGTCTGGTTGGACATACTGGCAGGTCATGCGAATTCTGGGGCTGCAGCAAGCGACTGTTCTCGACAATGGTGACTTGAGGCCTTGGACGAGGCGACGATGTTTGCCGAGCTTCCCCAATTTCTTGTCAGGTTGCCAAACGGTATGGTTGCAGCAAACAGGGACGTTGCTCATATTTGGCGGCAAAGAGGCTCGAGTTCATCAGTGGCACGGCATGCCTCCGCCGCTTGCTTCAGTTTGAAGGAACCCGGAACGGCCAGCTTGTCGCTAGCGGAGGTGGCCATATGATCTTGTGAAAACAGTTTGGCTTTTGCGGGAGCGAGACGCATGCTTTTCGGGTAGGCCGGCCTGGTGGCAAGAGTGTGAGGGCCCATCTCATGCTGGCCAACGATGCCGCCGGCAAGGTGCGGATGACAACAGGAACTTGTTAGCAGCACAAGGTTGTTTGCCCATGCTATGCTCTGTGCTTGGCGCCAGGTCGAACTGACTCGAAGGCCGTGAGGGATGCGCAAACACGCACACAGACACGATTTCTGAAAAGCGACATGCCTTTGCCCGGTGTGCAGGCAAAGGCAGCGAGAAGGCAAGCGAGTCATTGCCGTCTTGCGCGAGCAGCAGAAGCAGGAGATGAGACTTGGCACCCGGGCAGTGTTGGACTGACCAGTTCCTCGCGGTCTTGGTCTGTCTCCTCCCAGGCATGCAGATGAACGACGCGTTGAAAGGAAAGCCGAAGAAGTTCCGGACACTGATGGGCGATGCTTCAGGTGCCAGGTGAGCTTGAAGCTGGGGCCTCAAGGTGGGCCGAATCCGGCGAGCCTCCGAGTCCCGAGATGTCTCCAGTGCCAGTGCCGGCACTGCGAACAGGAACCCCAGGACTTTATCCCAGCCGGCGCTGCCACTGAAGCGGTCCGAGCCAGGCACCTCTGAGCCCCTGAAGCGGTCTTCGTGGAATGAAGTGCAATGGACAATATCGATGTGGGCACAGAGGAGGCCCGATCAGACTCTGGCCTCTCAAGGTAGCACCCTTTCCAGGCACACGGACATGCTATGTTCGGAGTGCGAAGTGCAAGCTTATGGCGAATTTCGGCACGGAGAGGGTTCGACCTTGTATGTTCATAGTGTGGACGCTGGCCTGACTAGATGGGAAACCATGCGAGAATACTAAGTCACACGAAGTCTTGACCTTTGAGGATCGTTGCTGAACCTCTTGTCTCATGTCAAGCCAGTGTTGCGTTTCACTGGGCCCAGTGCATCCGGGAGGCTTCCAGTTCAGCTTCCCAGCAGTAGTTTTGTTTATGCCTGCGGTGTCCACAAAAATGTCACCGCGCCAACGGCCGAACCAGAAGCTTCTCGATTAGGCGGTTACGTGATCGCTGCTGTACAGGCATTTGGCTAAGAGAAAAAAGGAGTCTTAGTCTTCGTTTTTCTCACCTCTGAAGATCGCCGCTTCCGCCGCTGCCTTGAGCTCCAGAGCACAGGCTGCGGACTGGGCGGACGCGACCTGGAGGACATCCAGGCGCACAAGCGGATCATGGTCGGTCCTGGCAGGTGGTTCTGGTAAGTAGGCGGAGACGGTTCTCCAAGTTTGTCGTGTCTGCATACATTCCCTTCTGTCTTGCAACGCCCACTGTTCTGCCGTTCCCAAGTTTCTCGAATGTGCGTGGCGCGGCCAGATGGCCTGCCTTCACCCCTTAGCTGCTGAAGTATCTGAAAGCACCTCATGCAAAGTGAGCATTGCAGATGGATGGGGCACAGGGAAGAGTCCCGTGACAGGGCTTCGGCTTCATGCTGTCCTTCCTCTCCGCCGATGGTTCAAACAATGCAGCCTTTCAGGTTCGTGGTTTCTTCTTTTGGACGTGTCGCTGTTTGTTCTACAAGTGCTCAATGAGCATGTTCAGAGCCTGCGCAGGAGGGTCAGTTCGAGTTGCATATCCTCGCCATCAGCACTTACTGAGCAGAGTCAGCTTCGAGCAACAGCGGGTTGCCACCACAGTACTGCTTAAGATAGACTTTCTCCCCAAGATTTTCTTTAAGTCTTCGGGAGCCAGGAAAGGACTACATCCTTTGACCTTCTCCCGCTGCCATGTTTTCTTTTCGCTCGACATCACGAGCCCTTCTTATTGCCTGCCTGTGAAGCGCAGCACGGCGTGTGGCTGCAAAGGGCCAACTGACATGTACAGCGTCAGCAAGACCCGCGAGCTCAGCAAGACACCTGAGCATCAGGAAAAGGTAAGTGGAAGGGCGGTGTCAGGTTGCTCATGGACGCGCACATCCGCAGTATAGCTCGCTTGCATCGGCGTGCAGCTCTTGCTGTAAGGTCAGGCCACTTACGGTCTTGCGTGAAGGTCTTGTTTCATTGCCTCCAGCTCGTGTCCCACCAGGCGGAGGATGTTGAACATGTCCTATTTGCGGAGATGTGAGCTGTGCACAAGGCCACGAGGGTCGGGATCACGAGAGAGCTCTGCTGGTCGGTTCTGGGCTGAGCTCTAAAAATCATGGAATGGAACATGTTGTTGAAGCCAGCTTTTCGAATATCCTTCCTTCCTGCAATAATATGCCAGTTGTGAGATTGCGCTGCAGCGTGCGAAGCCAAAGGCGCTTCCGAAAAAAAGTGTGCCACAGCGGACCGCGAGCACACGCAGAGTCCGGCAAGCAGCGAGACAGCATGGGCCAGCGTGTGCCAGCATGTCATGGAACATGACACCAAAACCTGGAATCTGACCTGACCAGCGCTGCCGCGCCATGGAATTCTCGGACCTGTCGGCGGTGCTGCAGCTGGGCTAAGCATCGAGTTTTCGGAGCGTGAAACCTGCCTGTTGCAACAAAGGCCCGACAATTTCGTGGGTATGGCAAAGGCAACCGCATCCTCACGTCTGGAAGGCAACGATCGCTGTGACTCCGTCGCGATGTCCATTGAAGATTTGAGTTTTCCTTTGGATTGCAATGTGTAGACGAGGAAGTAAGAGCTCCCTGTAGTTGTCGACGAATCGTCTTCTGCCTGTGCTGACCTCTTTCGTTTTCGCAAGCGTTATACCTCGCTGAGCTGAGGCGAGGTTGTCCAGGAGGAGCTGAAGCGTCTCTTCGTCTCGGCACCCCATGCACCGGAGACTTCCAAGGCCATCTGACTGTCCAACTTTCCTCCTCTGCTGCTCTTGATCTGCCGAGTGTTCAGGCCTCAAAGCCCAGCCGTCCCCCACGGCCACCGCCTCTAACGGACATGCCGGAAGCAAGCAGGCCGCTCATTGCCCGTGCTCAGATTTGGACACGTTAAACGTCAGCAGCTACGGCATGCTGAAGTGTTGTGCGGTTGAGAGCCCTTGGATCGAGATTGTATGATTGTATTCGACCGCTGCTAGAGGTGTGTATTTCAAGTTTTGGACTTTGCCCGAAACACGACATTCAAAATGAGTGCGGTAGGTTAACATGTTCGATGGATTGCTGAACCTAGTTGTGTCGGCCATAGTTGCCGAGTAGGAGCAACGAAGCTTGTCTTTGAAGCAGCAAGAGGAACAAGATGCGTTGATCGGGGAGGGATCATTACTTGGAAGATGCATTGTCGGAAATGGCAAGCCAACTCCAGCTGGTCCGGGGTCGCGCGAAGCAGCGTGGCAAGATGTTTGCGCGCCGTATGGCACAAAAAGGCTGGACAGAAGGAGCAGCAGGAACTGCGGCAAGAACCTGTCGAGGTCTTGGCCACACTGTTGACCAGCTGTGCGAGAGAACCGGAAGACTTCCTGCAATGGAAGCCCGAGCCTGCAGCCTGAGGTGTGTCTAAGACGCACGAACTCCCAAAAGAGTCGGTCGAAGTGAACCCGACTGTTTTGACCAGCCTGCACGCACAAGAAGATTTCCAGGAATGGAAGCCCGAGCCTCCAGTTCGGCACACTTGGAAGTACGTTTGGGCGCGAGGCATGGACGGTCACCGTTATCCCCGCGAACATTGTGGGGGCACCTCCGCCCGAAGGATATCTTCGAGGTTGTGGAGGAACGTGTCTTTCGTGATGGCAGCTCTTGCTACCGCGCAAAACGGGGTGAGGTCCGGGACGCTCCGCGTCCGTGTCGGTGACTTCTGGTTGGAGTATTGCAGCGCAAAAGCATGACAGCATGCTTGGAAAAAAATGCCAACGATCCATGGGTGACATACCAGAAAGACCAACGAGATGAATGGAACGCACGAGGCTGGCAACACAGGTCGGACAAGCCAGTTTCGTCCATGTACAAATCAGAGGACCAACGGAGATGGGAAACATGGAGCAAGGCCGATCACTCTTAGCAGTATTGACTATGATGTCCAAACGACCCGGCTTTTGATGATTCGCCCTCGTTCAAAATCATGCATTCACACCGCTTCAGACAGGCATTTTCAGACATTGCCAGCTCCAATACGAATATGTGCCCGTTTGATGAGTCTTGGGTGTGCTGACATGACTGCAGGGCCGAAGACATACCCGCTGAATCTTCCAGTTGATAAACAAAAGCTTACCGACCGATTCAGGTTTGGACGCTTCTTCACCCAACCCGTCCGTTTCGTCAGTCGCACCACATTAGCCTGGCTCCGGTCGGCTGTTTGGTACGTGGCTAGATCACGGGATGGATACACCCACTCGTACACTTACAACTGGCCAGTCAATTTATCACCATAACTAGTTGTACATCCTGGCAGGAAAGGAAGACCAGAAAGGTTCCAGCTGCTTGGAACTACGTCCAGCACCCTTGAGCTGTGATGCGAGAGTGCGAGATCAGCCGAGGCTCTCGAAGCCACCACCACCCATTCGATCGACACTTATCCTGTCGCAAGAGGACACCTACTGTACGGGATTGTACGGGGCTCAAGGTTCATGTCCTTTGTGCGGTTACATGGCAGGAGCAACGGAGGACGACAAGAGAGTGCCAGCGGCGCCGCAGTGGGACCAAGCACCTCAGCAGACTAGAATCTGGGCGGGGATGTGTTGACTCGACATATGTTTGATTCTGGTCGGAGTTATCCTTTCGAGTGAGGACCTGGAGCCAGGAGGAGGAGAACCGCTTCTAGCCAGCAGCGACAATTTATGTGCAGCATCACGTGCTGCGAAAAGTTTTGTTGCAAATCTTTCTTGCCAAGGTGAGCTCCGCCGACAGCTGCGCAAGCTTACCTCCGTTGAGGCGGTTATCACGGGTAACATAGTTGGGTATTACGCCTTTCCCCCCATTATGATCGCCGCAAGCACCACTAGCACCACTAGCACCAACAGCACCACCAGCACCACCAGCACCACCAGCACCACCAGCACCACCAGCACCAGCAGCACCACCAGCAGCACCAGCACCA